AAAGAACTCTCATATATCTCAATTAAAAAAAAAAAAGACAAACTAGCCAATTTTAAAATGGGCAAAGGATCTGAATCAACACAAAGGTATACAAATGGCCAATAAGCACATGAAAAGATGCTTGTCAGGTATTATGGAAATGCATAATCACTTCACACTTCCTATGGTAAGCAAAAAGACAGACAATACTGTTGGTTAGGCTGTGAAGGAATCGGAGGCCTCATACATTGCTGATGGGAATATAAAATGGTACAGCCACTCTGGACAACCATTTGGAAGTTTCTTACAAAGTTAAACATAAACTTTGTTTACATTTGTTTTAACAAGTGACCCAGCAGTTTTACTGCTGCTATTTACCCAAGAGAAATAAACATAGGTTCACACAAAAACTTGTCCACAAATGTGCATTATTTACAATAGCCAAAAGGTGGAAACAACCCAATTTTCCAACAACTGGTGAATGGATAAACAAAACTTGGTACATCTACACAATGGAACGCCATTTATCAACAACAATAACAACAACAAAATGAAGTACTGATGCATGCTACAAAATGGATTAATTTTGCCAGGCATGTTGGTTCATGCCTGTAATCTCAGTACTTTGGGAGGTCCAGGTGGGATGATCACTTGAGCCCAGGAGTTGGAGACCAATGTGAGCATAGTGAGATCCTGTCTTTACAAAAAAAAATAATAAATTAGCCAGGTGTGGTGGTGCATGCTTGTAGTCCCAGAGTTACTCAGGAGACTGAGGCAGGAGAATCTCTTGAGCCCAGGAGTTTGAGATTATAGTGAGCCTTGATCGCACCACTGCACTGCAGCCTGGACAGATCCCATCTGTAAAAAACAAAACAACAAAAGACATGGCAGAGTGGGTTCCACCTTGCTCTCTCCCTTGAGTCACTTGTTCTTGGCGAAACCAGCTGCCCGTCATGAGAACACTCAAGCCACGCTATTAGAGAGGTTCACATGGCAAAGAACTGAGCATCCTGCATCATCCAAGATGTGAGTGAGCCATCTTGGAAGGGTAATCGCCAGATGCAGACAAGTCTTCAGGTGACTGCAGTCCTGGCCAACATCTTGACTACAACCTCATGAGAGTCCCTGAGTTAGAACCAAGAAGCTTCCTGTGTTAATTTACTTAAAATTAAAAAAAGAAAAAAAGAACCAACAAGCTAAGCCACTCCTAAATTCCTGACTCACAGAAATCATATTGTTTAAGCCACTAAGGTTTGGAGTAATTTGTTACACCGCAATAAACTTCCTCAACCTCCTTACTGTTAGGCTCTCTGTCCTAACGACAGGCATCTAAGTAAATGTCTTCCCAGCAACTCTTCCTCTTCTTAGAGTTTAGTTTAACCCCATCCATGTTTACTAAAGTTGCTGCCATGTTACAAAAACATGATCCCATCCCCTGGCCTTAGGTGAATGATCCAAAAGTGGATACCTCACCAAAAGGCAAGCCAAAAAAGTCCTTTCCTGAGATCTTTATTTTTATTTATTTATTTATTTATTTTTAAGATGGGGTTTCACCATGATGGCCAGGCTGGTCTTGAACTCCTGACCTCAGGTGATCCACCCACCTCAGCTCCCAAAGTGCCAGGATTACAGGCACGAGCCACCGGCTTCCTGAGATCCTTATAACTGAAGCTGAGAAGAAGGTGGTGTATCTTCAGTAGCGGAAGGTTGTAGGATATAAAACTCGGAGTCTACCAACAGCATGATTTTTCCCAGATGGGAAAAGTGGTGGGGAAGAATGAAGTCACACATAGGCGCAAGCAGAGATTCAAGGTGGACAAAATACACACAATGATAAGTCTCTGGTACCAACAGTCCCTGATGCAACCCTGTTCTTCCAATGGACAGACCACACATGTCCTATCATCCCAGCATCTAAAACAGCTTACAGTATGTAAGAGGAAATAAAATATTTACTAGATAAATAAGATAACCCAATATCCTTCTAATAATATCCTTTTAGTTATTGCTGTTGAAGCATCAGATTTGATTATTTGAAAGCTAAAAGTCCTAACCTATTCTTTGCTAACTCTATACTTGTATATCCCTTTACTGTTATACTTACGGCAGTATTATCTTAATCACTGGTTTATATGGCCTCCTCCCCTACTATTAGAGGGCAGGACATTTTCTTCATCGATGCTCAAGAAATGTTATGTTTAAGTGATCTGCCTAGTCCTATGCTCTGCATTCTTCAGCTTTTATAGTCACTGTCATCATCTGCAAGGCACTGGTAATACAAAAAACTTACTAGACTTGCTCCTGGATTCTCATGGATTCAATGAATTCATTCAAATATTAAGTACCTACTATAGGTCAGGGGTTGCAAATAAACAAAGGACATGGTGCCTGCTTGCCCTCAAGGACCTTACAGTCTAACACAGATAAGTAAATGGACTCTGTGTTAAATGTTACTAAAGAGATACACACAGGCTGGTAAGTGACCACAAAGATTATGGCAAATTTACACTACAATGTAAAATATGGCAAATTTACACTACAATGTAAAATATGGCAAAATTACATGAGATGACAGGACATATACAGAAAAAGATAACAGGCAATGTGGCATAAGCTAAGCACTAAATGAGTGATTTGTTGCCCAAATTACACTGGATTAAATCACACACTTCAAGATAAGATGCTATTACGGAGTGATTTTTATATATACATTCAACTAACGTTTCCTAAGATGCTATTATGGAGTGATTTTTATATGTACATTCAACTAACGTTTCCTAAGGGCTCACTATATGCCAAACAACCTGCTTAGCACTTTTCCAACAGTGTCTCATTCAATTTTCACATTTTGTAGATGAAAGACGAGAATCTGAAAGGGTGAAATGACTTGCCCAAGTCTACATAGTAAGTGGCAGAGATGGGATTTAGAATCATGTCTTCCAACTCCATGTCCTTTCATGGGACATTTTTTGCTTTTTCATTCATCCTACAGAATACAATAAAGTGTTCGGTGAAAATGAGCAACCACCAACTGCCAGCCTGATATAACTAGATGCCTGTCCACATTCTGAGTCGGGACCATATCAGATCAAATTACTTTGGTGCCTATTATAACATCATGTGCTGAAAGAAGGGCAGCTGGCTGAAGATGAGCAACTCTTTCAAGTTATATTTTAACAGTGTTTTTGACCACTATATCCGGTCAGTTGTTCCAGGGTTCAGTAATAAATCAAAATGATTGTTCATTTCCTTTGACAGTTAACAGTACTAATGAATTCAGTATAATCTCACCATCCATCAGAAAAATTTCTAAAATGCAAACTTGAAGCTGATGATTCACAGTTAGAAGAGAGGGGGAAATAAAGCAGTACTCACTGTTTTCTACAAAACTAGCATTGTTCGTAAAATCCAGAAACTGTGTAGTTGGTTGACTACCAATAACAAGCAGGTTGCTCTTTGGTCATTTAGCAAAAAGCTGCTTGTTGCACCACAGTCGAGACAGAGAAGCACAGGACTTCAAGTAGCTTTTGCTGTACAGTAGGATTCCATACATATAAATCAGTGGATCATTATGTAAGACAAGAAAAAAATTCACAATCTTCACACCAGAAAGCACCTGACACAGAGCCTGCCACAAATCAGAATAAATGTATATTGAGTAAACTACCTAAGAGCCTTTTGGAAAATATTTGTCTATGAAATTGAGAGAAGCAAAACCAAATCATCTGAATCCATACAGGTTATGTTAGGAACTCAAAAATATGTAATAACTGGCTCAAGAGATATAACAGATTCACAATGACCAAAAAAACAATGATTACAAATGTTGACTTCACGAATTTGACATCTCTCTTGAATTAAGTCACCACATTGGCACCCAATGGAATGCTAATAGGCAATCTCAGTAGAAATTGACAAAAACTGAAAGAACTGATGAACAGAGGTAACTTTCCAATCTGTTCAAAACAGAAACAAGATGTATTAGGTGAACACCTGAAACCTGCTATTTAAGCTTTGTGCCTTCACTATTAAAGAATATCCTGGCTGGGCGCAGTGGCTCACACCTGTAATCCCAGCACTTTGGGAGGCCAAGTCAGACAGATCACCTGAGGTCGGGAGTTCAAGACCAGCCTGACCAACATGGAGAAAGCCCTTCTCTGTTAAAAATACAGAATTAGCTGGGCATGGTAGTGCATGCCTGTAATCCCAGCTACTCGGGAGGCTGAGGCAGAATTGCTTGAGCCCGGGAGACAGAAGTTCGCGCCACTGCACTCCAGCCTGGGCAACAAGAGCAAAACTCCGTCTCAAAAAAAAAAGAAAAGAAAAAGAAAGAAAGAGAGAGAGAGAGAGAGAAAGATAATATTCCAATATGCCAAAGAAGCTCTGTGAAAAACCTTCAACGCTCACAAACATATCTAATCATAACGAACGACTTATTAAAATGTATTATCTGTTCAGAGAAAACAAGTATTAATATTATCTCCAATACGAGACTGGGCTCCAAGAATATGAACCAAACTGTACTGATTGGTCTGAATAAGCATTATCCAAAATGAAAAACCCGGACCTACACAACAAATACATTTAATTACTTATAAAGCTTAGGACAACCACGGTGATCTCAAACATTAGAAAGTAAGCGCTGAAGCGGCCTCGTTCGCTCCTTTTACCTGGAGCTTTAAATTTACAGAGCCATCATCTCCAGAGACCTCTCAAGGAAATTCAAGGCCAAGTATAGTATTTCATGATAAGTGAAAATAAAGGCACTCAATCCCTGCAGCCCGCGATTCCTGTTCATGTCTCTAGAGACTGGACTCGGTAAAAGCCCGAGGCGCAACCCCCACTTATCTCTTACGGGACCCCAGCACGTTAGGGGACGGTTCCACAGAGCGCCACTGGGACCCCTCGAGGGGAGCAGAGGGGCGGAGCAGGGAGTCACGCTCCAAAACAAAGCGCCGCTTGCCCCATGCTGAGGCAGGAGCACCTTTCACCCCGACAGGACGCAGAGACACAAGTGTCACCTGTGCGGGAAGAGGGAGCAGCGACATCCTCGGAGGTGCGTGCCACGGGCAGCGGTCGGCAGCTGCGCTAGCCCCGATGCCAGGTGCCCGCCGCTCATTCCCGGGCTCGGGAAAACTTTCGGCCGCCTCCCCCGGACGCGCCCCCACCTCCCGGGACCCCCGGAGCTCGCACCCCACCCGCGACGCCCCGCTCCGGGCCCGCCCCTCCGCGCCCACGGTTCCGGCCCCGCGCCGGCACCCGCGTGCCCTCAGGCGCGCCCCCGCGCCGGGCCCGGCCGGCAGAGGGCGGGGTCGCTCACCGGTCCGCAGCTCGTGCTTGACGGTGAGGAGCTGCTCTCCCCCGTCGCCGCTATCCGCGCTGGTCCCCGCGGCGCCGCCGCCGCCACTGCCGCCGTCCTCCTCCATCTTCTCCTTTTCCGATCCCGCGGGTCGCTACTAGGGGAACCCGGGAGACAGCGGACGCCCGTCCCCTCGCAGCCGCTGCCGCAGCCCCAGGAGCTGGGGTGCAACGACTCCAGAACTCGGACGCAAGGACGAGTCTCTTTCCCGCTCTGGCCGCACGGCTCGCTCCTCGCCTCCTCCCCCTTCGGCGGGCACCGCTAGTACCGCGCAACCAAACCGCCCCCTGCTCCACCGCCGCCTCCTCAGGCCGCTCCGCCCACAGCCAGCAAGGTAGGGGAGCCATTCGAGCCACCTTCCCTGATTGGGCACAGGGCGCGCGCGTCTGTCAACGCCGGTTCTCATTGGGCAGTCTCCCGTGACGTTTCACGGGCCTCCCCGCCCCGCTCCTCGAATTGTTGTTGCTTGGCGGGGAGGCAGGAGAGGGAGGAGCGCGGCTACTCCGATTGGTAAGATCCAAAGCTCTGCCCCGCCCATTTCCTCTGGTGCGCACGCGCAGTCAAGACCTTCCCTTCCCTGACCTCCCCAGAACGGTCACACCCCTTATTCCCCAGCTTCGTTCTGTTAGTAAACAGTGTCTAGTAGTCAGGAGGCGCTCGGGGTCTCTGATTGGCTACTGCCGAAAGAGGCGGGGAGGGATGATTGGAACGTTTGGTCCGCCAATCACCGTGGACAGAGGAGGGCCTGGAGGGTAGCGCTTATCACCCACGTGTTTGCAGACAAACCTAAGTGTCCCGACAGCGATTCATAGGTTTGTGACCACCTGCGAGACAACGTGTCCTAAAAAGGTCTTACTCGCGCTAGTGAACCCTAAACAAGTTAAGTTGAGCATTTTTGCTTGAATGACAGATAGTTCTTAAACGTTGCAAAAATTCACAGTCCCAGCTCCCGATGAGGAATTTTACGAAGGAAAGATGTTTCAGATTGGAGCAAGACTCTTCCTAGACCCCGAAAAAGATACAGAGATTAACAAAATAGAATAAAATCCCTCCCCTAAGCAGTTTTCAATAGAACGTGAGAAAAAACTTTAAAGCAGAATTTGGAATAAAGCAGCCGTACAAAGCGTTAGAGAATCTTGCACGGATGGCAATAATTATTCCCAGACGAGAAGCTGGGAAAAGCTTTTAGGGCAAGGAGGTATTTGAGATAACCAACGTAAAGGATGGATAAGAGAGAAATACCAGCAACAGACATTTCCCACAGAGACAGTAACTGTGAGCGCTGGCCTACAGCAGAGAAGTCAAGGGTGGGTTAAATGACTGATAAGGTTAGATGAAAATATGATGTAAGAGATACAGCTGACAAGGTGAGTTGTGGTAAGATAATGGAGAACTACGAATGCTGTGCTGAACAGTGCAGATTTTATTTATTACACAGTGATGAACTGACAAGAAGAGGAGAGAGATAGCAGGGCAGGAATACTGCTGCAAGGATAGAACTAAAGGGGACCTGATTTCTAGTAGCAGACACGAGAATGAGAAAAAGGAGAAACTTAAAGATGTACAGTTGGACGTAATTCACATAGATGTCATATTTTAAACTAAGCATGGATTGGATCAGGAGTCAGCACACTTTTTTCTATTAAGGGCCAGATAGTAAATATTTTAGGATTTGCAGTCTGTATGATCTCTTTCACAACTACTCAGCTCTGCCATTGTAGCTCAAAAGCAGTCAAAGACAATAAACAAAAGACATGGCTTTGTTCCAATAGAACATTTTTTATCAACATTGAAATTTGAATTTCACATAGTTTTCACGTATCATAACACATTCTTCTTTTAATTATCTTTCAATCACTTAAAAATATAAAAACAGGCTGGGCGCGGTGGCTCACGCCTGTAAGCCCAGCACTTTGGGAGGCTGAGGCAGGTGGATCACCTGAAGTCAGGAGTTCGAGACCAGCCTGGCCAACATGGCAAAACAAAAAAAATACGAAATTAGCCAGGCGTGGTGGCAGGCACAGGTAATCCCAGCTACTCAGGAAGCTGAGGCAGCAGAATTGCTTGAATCCGGGAGGTGGAGGTTGCAGTGAGCTGAGATCACAGCATTGCCCTCCAGCCTGGGCAACAGAGCAAGGCTCCATCTAAAAAAAATAAAAAAGTATGTGTATATATAACAATTCTTAGCTTGAGGGCCATTAAAAAACAGGCAATGAGCCAGATTTGCCCTACAGGGCCATAATTTGCAGAATCCTATGCAATCGAGTTTGCAGATTCGATTGCTATGAAAGAGAAAACACAGAAGTCTTGCAAGTTCCTTCAGGTTGCTGTCACAGCTCCCTGGGCTCACCTGCCTGGAACATTTATCACCACACTAAACCATGACTGCCTACTTACTTGTCTTTCTCCTGCAAAAGTCGTGTGCTATTTGGAGCCAGGCAATGACTGTGAGCAACTGTTCAATTTGTTCACTTAGCAACTTTCATACCAGTTTTATACCAAGTACTGTGAAAGGTGCTAGAGACACAGTGGGAGCAAATCAGATGCAGTCCTTGCTCCTATAGCGCCTACAGTCTAGCAACAGATACAAATATTAAATAATCACATAAAGAAATAAAAACTTTCCATTGTAATCATGCTGGAAAGGAAAATTATAGGGTGCTACAATAGAATGTATCAGGGATGCCTAATTTCAGTTGAAGGAGCTGGAAGACCTTTGTAAGTAAGTATTATTTAAGCTGAGTCTTTAAAAACAAGTAGGTTTTAACCAGGATGTGGCAAAAACTAGCCTAATGTTCACCAATCTCATTTCCTCTTCCTGGGCATACAGGAAGACTTTTTTTCTTCTTCTTTTTTTCTTACCTCCTTTGCAGTTAGGTTAGGGTCATATGACTGCGATCTGGCCAATGGGGTATGGTCAGACCCGATTGGAATGATAGATACCATTTTCCGGCCTGACCAGAAAACTCCTTGCATAATCATTCACATTCTCTTCTCTTCCTACTGCTACAACAAAGGCCACATCTTTAATATGGGCATGCCACAATCTAGAAGGACTCTGAACCCCTGAGTTTCCACTTAATGCTTTAAGGAGATACCTAACCTATATCAGACTGTGAAGTGAGCAATAAATAAGCCTTTTTAGGCATAAGCTACTTGGATGGGATGATTTGCTACCAAAGCATACTCTAGCCTATGCTATTCCATATGTGAAATATGGAGGGACCAAAATTTTTGGAAGATGTCCTGAGGCAGGCAAAGAGCCTATTCTATGGAAAGATTGAGAATGTCAGTGGAGCCTAAAGCAGTAAGTAAGGGATGAGGTTAGGGAGGTAGGCAGAGGCCCAGTCATGAAGTATGTGGTTGCCCTTATTAATATTTTTGGACTTTATCCTGTGTGAAGTGGGAAGCAATAGAAGGAATTTACACACAGGAATGATATGATTGCGGTAGCATTTTCGAAGGTCACTGAAATTAGTGTTTGGAGACTGTGCCAGAGAGGGCAAAATGGGATGCAAGAGACCAGTTAAGAGACTGTCACTGTAATCTGGGCAAAAGATAACAGTGGGTACAGTAGAGCTGGAGAGAAATGAAACATTTCTAGGTTTATATTTTGAACTTGAAGGATTCTATTTGGTGAGTGAGAAAAAAGGGAATATCTGAAGAAAAAAAAAATCACATGGGATACCTAAAAATGACAAAACAAAAAACTCCACCACTCCTACCCCTAAAGAATGTGATTTAAATTGGTCTGGGGTGGGGCCTGGACTTTGGGATTTTTTTTAAAGCTTCGCACATCATTACCTAATGTACAACCAAGTTTGTAATGCACAGCTCTTTTGTACGACTATTAGGGCAGAGAGTGGCAAATAAGAGCAAATTGGAGTGTTGAAAAAAGTAACTTTTCAGAGGTAGTGATGGTGCTAGAGAGTTTCTAGCATGAGCAGCTGGGTGGATGGAAGAGGATAGCACTATTGTTTAATAATAAAAGGGACAAATTAAAGGAAGAGCACATATGAGAGAGAACATCAAGAGTTTAATTTTGAAACATCCAGGGCCAAAAGTAAGTAGCAGTGTGGGTATATGAGTCTGAAGCTCTGAAGAGAGTTCTAAGATAGGGGTGTGAGCTTAGGAATCAGGCACATAGATGGCATTTGAGGCCAGAGGTATGAATAAGATTACCTAGGGAGAGGGCCTGGTGCGGTGGCTCAGGCCTGTAATCCCAGCACTTTGGGAGGCCGAGTGGGCAGATCGCTTGAGTTCGAGACCACCCTGGTCAACAAGGTGAAACTTGTCTCTACTAAAAGTACAAAAATTAGCCAGGCATGGTGGTGTGTGCCTGTAATCCGAGCTACTCAGGAGACTGAGGCAGGAGAATTACTGGAACCCGGGAGTCAGAGGTTGCAGTGAGCAGAGATCGCATCACTGCACTCCAGCCTGGGTACAGAGTCAGACTCTGTCTCAAAAAAAAAGAAAAAGAAAAGTTGGAATAAGAAGGTAGAGCTAGAGGTAGAAGAGGAAAACCGGGAGAGTTTTATGTCTTGGAAACCAAAGTATTTCCAGAAGGAGGGAATGGGCAGCTGTATCAGACACCCTAAAATGTCACATAACATGAGGTCTAGAAAGAACCAATGAATTGGCTGGGTGCAGTGGCTTAAGTCTGCAATCCCAGCACTTTGGGAGGCCGAGGCAGGCAGATCACCTGAGGTTGGGAGTTCGAGACCAGCCCGACCAACATGGAGAAACCCTGTCTTTACTAAAAAAAATACAAAAATTAGCAGGGTGTGGTGGTACATGCCTGTA